GGAGAGAGACAGATGTCGAACGCTGCCGAACGCGGAGGCCGATTGTGCCTCTTTGTCGCTCGTTCCGCGCTCTCGCTTGCACTTCAAGCCTTAAATGGAACGCCTCAGAGCGAGGTAAAGCCGCATGAGTCATGTTTTTTCGTGCGTGCAGCCGGCTCCATCGAATTATAAGACGTTGTCACGTCAAAAAAACAAACGGAATTATTGGATCCAAATATGACAAAAATTGAAAAATTTAGGTGCCTAGTATTCACTCAAATTGTTAGAAATCAATACGATTTCCATTTGAGCTCTTTTAGTGTTCGAGTATGGACCTAACTATGAGCAATTAGTAAGTAAAAAGAAATCAGTAAATTTGTGTGGATCCCAATTTTGAACTTTTAAGTTCTCATCAATATCCCATCTGTTGTTTTCGACAAGAAACATTTTAATACGTTTATTGCAATAAAAGAAGACCATATTACGATAAAAGTACCATGTTACAACTCTAGCCGACTTTCCATCCGAGGATACCCTTTTTCCAATCAAGTGGAGCACCTTTTGGATTATATCGCGGACCTTTATTATTCAACATCTGCCGGCCGGTTGCATTGCCCCATGTTGATTCTTCGTTCTTCCCATCATACAGTCGCCGATGGCACTCACTCGCAGTTGTTGTTAAGTTCTCCGTTCGTTCTTTCGATTAACGAAATCATCCGGTGCAGCAGCGTTCCGCCCATCATGAACTCGCCACGTTCATATTGGCTCACAGACGGTTGACGTCATAACTCTTGGAGTACTTGTTAGCGCACAACACAGACGAATACAAGAGTAAATTGTACGTTTTTCTTGCGTGTTTGAGTGTGCCCCCATAATGTGAATGCGACGAAAGCAATTTTAGCCATAAGACAGACCGACGAATGGACACAACGCGACGTAACGGTTGTGGTTAAAACGAAGTCTGCCAATCCGCCGCCTGCTTATAGTTATTATTACAAACATACTCATACAAATCCTTTCGCGTTTACACCTTAAAAGCAACGATGTTATCATATGTGCTTTAATTTCTCGTTATTATCGTTGCCCCAACATGTAGCTGCCTACTAAACTCCACTCTGAGTCATTCCGTTCAACAGCTGCAAACCCCGGACTAATTAGATCAAGTCGACACCATGATATCCCGATGGTCTGCTGCTCGAGCTTGTTAACCATCAAGTGTGCTACGAGTACCGACCATAAACAACAGCACACCTTATAACTTACATATTTAAAGTAACTACACTAGTTGCTGCTCTAGGTAAACGCTGTTAACGAAATGGTTTCCAAGAAGTAAACATGAGAAAATGGAAAAAAAATTTTCCTTCCGTCAACATACCTACAGGGTTGTTCGGAAAGTCATTTCGTTTTTTTTTGTGGAAATGAAAGACAGTTTTCGTATAATAAACAAATACTTTATTAAATTATATATTGACCGTTCTGGTCCAACANTTAAAACTAATTAAAAATGAACTTTTAGTTTACTTAGATCTTTGTTTGCCATGTTTAGAGGCTATTAATGTATTTTAGAGCGACAGCAATTTGTTACTGGCTGCTAGGTGTAACAAAAAATATGTTTTTAAAAACAAAAATTAAAATACTTTATTTTTATGCTGAGTGCTTTTTTTTTAACCTTTTAGTCGAGAAATACTTTATGTAAAGCCTGAAAAGGTTGCATCCCTATTTGCAGCATACAGTGAGGCTTTGACGGTAACGAGCGGCCGTATTCCCGATATCGCCCACGCTGTACGTTTCTCTAAGCGAATGGACGGCAGGCATACGGCGGAAAACTCGTACGTCGTACCGTTTCCGTCGGCATTTCTTTCATATCCGTTGCGTGTCGGACGTGCGGCACCTTTTTGCAGCGTGAAATATCACGTCGTGGATTGGCAAAAACAGTTTTGGAACGATCCGGAATCCAGAGCAGCCACCGTCGCGGCGATACCATGTGTATAAGTTGTGAGACTGGGCGCGCACCGGCACTCTCGTAAATATCCCGGTCGTAAATGGGTGTCAATAAAATAGTATTGCGTGGTGCCCATATAAGTTAACGTAATTTCACATTCATTAACATTTAACAAGTAAAAACATCTCGTCGATCGTGAAAAACTTCGGAAACATCTCGGCAATTCCGCGCGAGGTGGACTGGAACAATGCGATCCGTGGGAGTCATTAGTAATAGCTACAGGACTATAAATTCTACGGCGCAGCACACTGCGCCGCAATGCACTGCGCTGCGCTCTTGTTGCTGCCGTGGCCGTTCGCGGTGGTGCCCGCTACAAGCAAGCGGCGGACTACGGCTACGGCAGCATATACGCGGATTATTCCGGCTCGGTTGGCTCGTTGGCCGGCGAGCATCTGACGTGGCCAATTAAAGCCACTAAACATCGCAAGACTACAATCCTAGCCATTAAAACGACCCCTTAACCCGTGTCGACGTACCTACGCTACACTTCAACACGTAAGGATAAATTAGATTTTCTTCATCGGTAAACCAGGCAAAAAACAATGCCAGCCAACCATCCCGACCGGCCTTTCAGAACCTAATCACATTCGCTTAAAACAGCGTGCAACGTACAAAATAACAAGGAATTCCTGGACGTGAGAATCTATTCATCACCATAAGGTCGTCAGTCCTAAGACTGGTTGGACACGCATCTCCACTCTTTCCTATTCTGAGCTAATCTTCGCATTTCCCCAAAACTAGAACATCCCACGTCCTTACCTATTTGCGAACAGTAATCTAATCTTGGTCTACCTTTACCCCTCCTAACTTCCGTTTCTGCCTCTGTCTCTGACTAGACCTTCGTGCCTGAGAAGGTGTCCTACCAATCTATCCCGCCTATTTCTTATTGACTTCCACAAAATCCTCTATTCTCCTACTCTTTCTAATACCTTTTCATTTCTAACCTTCTCTATCCACGGTATCCTCATTTCGAACGCTTTTAACCTTTTCTATTCCGCCGCGCCTTCTGTCTATGTTTCGCACCCGTAAAGCGCCGTGCTCCAAACATACACCGTTAACAACCTTTATCGAATTTCTAAATTAACCGTTCACGAGCATAGAAGTGACTTCTTTTTATTGAAGGCGACACGACCCTGCGCTATCATCTGCTTTATATCCCTATATCCCTACTACTCCTTCCGTCCTGACTTATCTGACTTCCTAGATACCTAAAATCAGCCACTTCTTCTAATTTTTCGTCTCCCAGCTTTATATTCACTCGTTACCTACTTTTTTTCCCTTGCATACCAGTATTTTTGTTTTACTTTTATCTATTTTCATACAGCACTGTTTTGTCAATACTGCTTCCATCTATTACTCTAAATTTAAAACACATAAGCCTTTATCTTTACTGATTTGTTTGATGCTGCAAAATACAGTCGACTCTTGCCAAATTACGATCTTCAACGATTGTTTTATTACGTCGCTTTAGATAAGAAAAATGGTGTTTGATTGTTGCAAATGGAAATGTTTGAGTAAGAGTGTGAAATTAATATTCACGAGCCGCCACTGCTTTTCGTCACGTGTTTACCCTTACGTTACGTTGGCAGAAGAAGTTTTACTTCATATCGAAAGTTTTTCAAGTAAGATAGTGTAATAGAGCAAAAGAAATAAGTCAGAATTGTCTAAAAACTAAAGGCTATCAAAAAAAAAAAAAAGAATCAACCCATTCGAAAATGTAAAAAACATACCGTGATACGTGTTAGTCAAATTGGGGTTCCTCGCGTTGAAAACGGTTACTTCCACTCCTTTGTTGTGATATTCTATCTTCTTCACGGCAGCGTTCAACTTGATATCTAAGCCTTCCGCCAAAGCCACCGGGACGCATGAGTATCCATTTCGCACTGTAAATAAAGAAAATAAAAGGACTCTGTAGTGTGGTTGGAAAGCGTTTCACAAATAAAAAGAAACATGAAACTGGACGCTTTTGAAATTTGAATAATCATTGTGCATCATCGTCGTATTATTTTACAATCGGCGATCTGTTATCCTGCAAGCGTTTTACTTACTAAAACAGGACGAAATAAACATACCTACTTATATTTTCTCACAAATAAGGATAATACACCTAATATAAACTTGACTTTGATTTACGGCAAAGCAGAAAATGCAATTAGTTTCCTAAATATCGAGTTATGACAGTACATAAGATCGAAATTGCAATCCACATCTACAAGTTTCAGTAAAATATTGATCAAGAACTTCAGGCTTTGACGACTGTCGTCTGAACAAACTGAATTTCCGGATGTCTTATAGATGAAACCTGCATGACGGAATTGCACCAGCACTAGCGTTAGAGATTCTGGATCTCTTGTGATAGAAGACAGAACCTCCAACAATTTTGATGCTATTTTGATCCGTCATGGGGGTTTCATATATATAAGACATCCGGAAATTCAGTTTCTTCATAATTCGATCTTCACATTTTCCATTATCAACAGATACTGGATAAAGAAGGACAATGGTACGAAAATAAACGAATAGGAATGAAATCGGTGCCGTGTAGCTACTCACGTGTGCTATGGCATTCCACGGAAATTCTGATTGGTTTCCAATAGAGCATTAATTATTTATAATCAGTAAAGTGGCAATTCTGTTGTACGCCTGCCATGGTACGTCTAATTTCTCTTGTAAACAAGTTAACAGGTAGCTGTAACTTCCTCTATTTGTCTAAATACGAGACATTCACGTGTATGTATTGTGTGCAAGCGTAATAAATAAATATCCCTATATGCACGTAGTTAAGCAACTATCTAAAGGAAGATAGATACACACAAACGTACACATATAGAGTTGTGTTGTACACTTATATGAGAGTATGGTCTGCAACATAAAACCCGTAGCGGGTAGATTTTTATCTGCAATTTTTCCTCCCATGAGGATGTACGAGCGGAATTTCATAGCCGACTAGGGAGCAGCTGTGCAAAAACAAGTACGAACGCTGGTAGTACCACGTGGAATAATGATAAGAGATTGTTTGAGCAAGTTACATTCCGGCCACGAACACACTTTGCGATACTGTGATATTCGTTCAACCTCTACAACCGAACTAGTCACGAAGAAGTCTGACCAAAACAATTTTTTTAAATTGCTTTCCGCAAGACCTATCTCACATTCACTTACTTATAAACGCAGGGCACCAGCTAAGTATCCATTTGTTTCTCTGCTGGCATTGGGGTGGAAGATAACAAAGTCTAAATATTAAAATCGCAGTAAGGGAAACTTGTAAACGTTTATTACCTTTTGCTACAATACATCATTAAAGACAGTACAACTGTACGGATAGATGTACAGGAGTAAAAGATTGGTATGCTTAGATTTGCAGATGATATAGCAGTATTAACATTTAGCAAGGAAGAGTGAGTTAGAGATAGCTTTAAATAAAATGGAAGCGGCAATGACAAAATAGTATTGTATGAAAATAAATAAAAGTAAAATAAAAATAATGGTATGCAAGGGAAGAAAAAGTAGGAAACGAGCGAATATAAAGATAGGAGACGAAAGATTAGAAGAACTGTCTTATTTTAGGTATCTAGGAAGTCAGATAAGTCAGGACGGAAGGAGTACTAGGGATATAAAGCAGAGGATAGCGCGGGGTCGATTGGGCTGCAATAAAAAGGAGTAACTTCTGTGCTCTCACGTGCTCGCGAACGAATTATTTAGAAATTCAAAAAATATTGTTAAAGCTGTATGTTTGGAGCGCGGTTAGAAGCGTTCGAAATGTAGTGTTACTGGCGAATGATACCGTGAATAGAGAAGGTTAGAAACGAAGAGGTGAAGGACTCTATGGAAGTCAATAAGAAATGGTGAGATAGGTTGGTAGGATACCTTCTCAGGCATGAAGGTCTAGTTACAGACATATTAGAGGAAGAAACAAGAGTTAAGAGGATTAGAGGTAGGCCTAGATTAGATTACTGTTCGCAAATAGTCAAGGATGTAGGATATTCTAGTTTTAGGGAAACGCGAAGAATAGGTCAGAATAGGAAAGAGTGGAGGTGCGTGTCCAATCAGTATTAGGACTGACGACCTTGTTATGATGACCATACAAAAACTTATCAAAATAATCAACCACTAAGCGAAATAGAATGTCCGGTCAGCACCTGGTTCATGTTCCACAAAAGAATTGAATAGTGAATCTTCTAAAAGAGAAGAGCTATTTATTTTCTCCTTGAACTTTCTTAAATCTTGAGTGAGACACCATACAAAAATTGAAATTATCTATAGAAATTTGTACCTCGGTTAGAAATAATAAATAACAAAAAATCAGGCGAGACAGATTGTTAGAACACTTGAAGGAGTAGTACTAGTTAGAAACATATTGGAAGTAGTACCAATGTCTACATTTTTTTCTGAATTAATTTGACAAAAGCCAAAAGACGACCCAACATGAGGCAGCTGCATTCGGAGATTAGCTTGCATTACGATTATTATTATTATTAGTATTATTCTTATTTTTGTTTGCGAGTGCCTGAAGGTATGACACAGCAAGTTCTTGCCCCCGTTTCACAACTCTCCGCGCCATCACATCGTCGAGCCGGTTCCCGAACTGTCCTGTTTGTTTTCAGCTGCAATTACAGTGCAGACACCGTCATTATCACCACTTCAATTAAAATAATGGCTGCTGCCACAAACAATTACTGTTTCTTTGGGACCGCGTTTCCTCTCACGACCACAACAAACGACCAACCAGCCACACGACGGAATGCGAATGGATAGGTATCAGCCAAAGAAGAAACCGATGACGTTCCAAAATACCACAATTAATTAAATAGATACTTTGTACATAACATGTAGATATACAGAAAATACCTACCAATTTTTTTTAACTTCTCAACAGAGACTGGAAAAAGTTGAGGACTTAGCATACGGAAAGTTCCCAAGGAGATTGTAAGTCTCCTATATACACTAGACCACAACTGTGCCCCAAATTAATTTGACACAGTAATTTCTGTAGATTATAAGTAAAATAAAAAACTGGATAACTGAATTTACTATTGGATTTAATAACACTTTAGAATTTGAATTACAACAACGAAATACAAAAAGGGAATATTGATAAAGACAAGATATTGTGCGTTCGACAAGGGTCGCTACCCGAATGCTATTAGTAATGGCAACAACATTTGTTCCTCGTAACCAGCGCATGCACACACATAAACAAGAAATCTGAAAGGTACGTAAACCTAGGAATTTCCCGTGGTCGAAACTACCGCCCGACCGGATGGAACCGGACAAAAGACTCATAAACCCTAGCCCGATCGGTCAATTTTATGACCTGCCTACGTGCAAAATGCGATGTTATAATTCTCAGAAAGCTGGTTACAAGAATCGAATGAATGCTGTCTTTTTCCTATACTAATACCGACTATTATTTGTCGGTTTATTTGAAATAACTTAAAATATATGAAAAAATATATAAATGAAATTATTGCGACAAACCAGAGACTATGATGCAGGTTAGTCTAGGCAAGAAACTAACTGTGGCGAAATAACTCTTTTTGTTTTTTCTGTGTGTAAATATTTTTTCTAATTTTATTTCATTTCAATTAATATTTCATTTCAAGTAATATTTCCTTTCAGTCTAAACTCTATTGTTCTTTCAATCACTTTTACCTGGAAATCCAACTTCAACCATACCTGCATGCACTCCCATACTAATATCTGGTTTTACCCTTAATTGCTTTCTCTTGAATTCTGTACTATCTAATTCTGTGTATTCCTAGAAACTAGTGTCTTCACCCTCTCTCTCACTACTTTTCCTTCTAGAACATTCTATCAAAATTACTAACAACCCTATCCTATAAATACTCGAAAATTTCTTATCTCAAGA